TGGAAACAGACTGAAGCACTAATGATAGAATAATAGATCGTTATGGTTGCTGAGGTAGCCCAAATTGCCAAATTAACATGGATTCTGAAGGATAAACCAATAGAAGATGTTTGAAAGATTTGGAAATTGTTTATGGACTTTTTGAGCAATAATAAATCTAATGATGTAATGATTTGTGGTTATGGTTATTATAAATTCTAGTAGGATTATTTAGTTGGATCTGTAATGGTGGAATAGTGTATTTTTTACTTTTTACTTTCTCTTTTCATTGCAATTAAGGTGAGTGGGTCAGAGCCCTACTATGGGCCTTTACAGACTGCCAGAAATAATGCAGCTTGAGGCCACTTTAACTGTCCTGGCTTAATGCTAGGGAATCATGGGAATTGTATTTTTTTTTCTGGGACATTGAGCCTTCTCTGTCAGAGAGCTCTGGTGCCACAATAAACTACAGTTCCCATGATTCCTTAGCATTGAGCCAGGAAAGTTAAAGTGGCCTCAAACTGCATTATTTCTGGCAGTCTGTAAAGGCCCTATGTTTTAGTTGTATGGTTTTTTATTTCTCTTTCTTCTCTCTCTCTTTAATTTCTATATGTATTTTCTGAAGGTATTTTCTATATGTATTTTCTGGAGGTACGTATATCATTTTGGTTTTGATTGTATTTTAAATTGTTAGTGTTAAAGATCAATCAATCAATTGCAAAAAACCAAAAAGCTTCTTTAAAACTTAGCCAGCCATTGTCCCATCTAAATTAGTATTGTCTGCTCCGATTGCCAGTGTCTCTCCGAGGATTTAAGTGTCTTTCATAGATTGAACTGAAATGGCCACAAATTGAACCTGTGATCTTCTTTAAACAAAACGTACATTCTGTGACTTAAGCTATTAAAACTTAATATATATTAAATGTTTATGAGCAAGAACCCTTAGTGATTAACAAGAGTTTTTGTAGACCCATATAGGCTGTAAGCCAAACCATTCTGATTAGGAACTTAAGCTATTTGCAATCTACATGAATGTGCCAAGCACCATCCTTAAATACTGTGGGATTTGCTTCTGAGTAAACATCCATAGATTGCATTGCAAATCACAGTAAAAGTCAAAGGGAGTCACTTCTGAGTTAAACCTGATCACAGCTGATCTGCATCTTGCTGGGAAAATAGCTCCCATTTTGTGAGTATGTGGCCAGGTGTGCACAAGCGTGTGATGTACACTTCGGATGTCCTTTTTAAGGCAGACTGCTGTCAGATCGGAGCAGTAATTATGGTGTTGTGAAATTGTGGTGTTGTGAAAAACCACTAGGCTGTCCATGTGCTTCCTGTCACTGAACAACAAATTGATTTTATAGAAAAGAAGATGTTGCTTTTCCTTCTGGTGAAAGTGCACTCACTGTAAGCAGGGTACTTTGTACCAAAGCAAATGTGATCCTTTTTTCTTCAAATGTAGGAATTCAGTGGCAGACATGTCGTTACTCTCTGTGTACAGTAGGCAAGGTGATGGAAGGTCATGCATTTAAGTGTTTGGGATCTAATGTGTTTAATCAAATCTGCACATGTACATGATTTTAACTCTTGGAACATGTTTTAAGTTGCTCTATACTTTAATATGTTTTTAGAATTTAAATTACTTTTTAGTATTTTAATATCTTAACTTTTAAAAATGCGAAGGCGTTGTATGATGCCCAGAGATCTATGATTATAAGATGGGATATAACTATTTGAATAAATAAGATAAAATAAAGGTAGCAGTTACATTTCACAGGGAGGCAACTTAGAATCATAGAATGGGAAGAGCCCCCAAGGGCCATCCAGTCCAACCCCTTTCTGCCATGCAGGAACTCACAATCAAACACCCCCATGGATGGCCATCCAGCCTCTGTTTAAAAACCTCCAAAGAAGGAGAGACTACCACACTCTGAGGGAGTGTGTTCCACTGTTGAACAGCTCTTACTGTCAGGAAGGTCTTCCTAATGTTGAGCTGGAATCTCTTTTCCTGTAGCTTCCATCCATTGTTCCGTATCCTGTTCTCTGGAGCTGCAGAAAACAAGCTTGCTCCATCCTCAATATCGCACCCCTTCAAATACTTAAACAGGGCTATCATATCCCCTCTTAACCTTCTCTTCTCCAGACTAAACATGCCCAGTTCCCTAAGTCTCTCCTCATAGGGCATGGTTTCCAGATGCATCACCATTTTGTCACCCTCTTCTGGACACACTCCCAACTTGTCAACATCCTTTTTGAATTGTGGCCCTTCAGATGTCTTCTGACTGCAAGTCTCATCTCCTGTCATCATTTGTTATGCTGGTTGACTGGAACTAATTCATTCTCCAGTCTACCAACATCTGGAGGGAGATCTACACCTGCTCTTTGGTTGTCATGGAACATGCTGGTTGGGGGATTCTGGGAATTATAGTCCAAAAAGTAACTTGTTGAAGGACTGTATGTGAACAGTTCCAGGTCCAAAATATTGTATTTGAAGGGGTGCCATATTGAGGATGGAGCAAGCTTGTTTTCTGCTGCTCCAGAGAATAGGACACAGAGCAATGGATTCAATCTACACTGAACAGAGCACTGACTATTGCTGTTGGTTATTCATCTTTGTTTCTCTGCTTATTTGCTTCACTGGCTGAAACAACTCTGGTGTCACACAAACTACAATTCCCAGAATTCCATAACAGTTAAAGCAGTGTCAAACCGGATTATTTCTGCAGTGTGGATGCAGCCTGTGGCATCCTTAATACCTTCTCCTTCAAGGCCATCCCTATCACTACAGTTCCTACCATGATCTTCTGACTAGCAAGTCTAGTCTTTTTCACAAAGAGAGGAGGAGCATAAAGATGTGTTTTCAATGGCTATAATGTTAAGAATTATTTTTTATGGAGACTTGGCAGAGCTGGGGTTTGGACTGCCCATTTATTGGAATGGGTTGTAAGACCTCTATGTTCTGCAGTGGCTTTTAGCAGCCAGGATTAAGCTTGTTCTGGGAGGGTTTAACTGAGATTTTAATTTAGTCAGTATTAGTTCTCTGTGTGCCTGTTTTAGATGGGATTAGCCAAATGCCTATCAAGTTTGACTGGCAGAGAAGATGGGGTCTGGACATCTCGCCAATGTCATCTTGTCCTGCCTCTCACATCCCATCTCCTTTTTCTCTTAGAAATTGGAAACCCAGGAAATTGGTGCTTCGCTTCTAGGGCAAATTGTAGAGCCTGGAGCAAGGGCAGAGGAAAGAAATATTTTTTGGGAACACGGCTTCCATAATCCATGCCAGAAGGGGCCGAATCATGGAATTGTCAAAAAATTAAATTTTTCAAGTCGTGTTCTCTGAGTGCAGGTTTTGTGGGCGTATGCATACTCTAGTACCGCTTTCCAACCTAGCATTGAATGGGCAGGATGAGAACGATGGAAATGTAGTCTTAATGCTCAGGGGCTGTCCGCTGAGGATAATGGGAATTGTAATCCAACATATTTTAAGGATGTCACCCTGGAAATGGCTGCCCTAAAAATTCAACATAGCCAATGTCGGGAAGCCTCCCCCAGTAGTGTGTGTGTGTGTGTATGTATGAGAGAGAGAGATTTCTTTTTCTGCAATGAGACCGTGATTAGATCAGTTGTAAAAATTCTAGCTTCAAACCTTTATTGCAGCATATTTCTGTGCTTGTTGGAATCTCTGTCTCAAGAAAAATTTCAATTTTAAACAAAGATATTAACAACATTCAAGGGCTTTCTGTTTTGTGGGTTTTTTTTTTAGAAATAAGAGAAATCCCAAGAAACACATAAATAAACCATGATAAGAAGTTTGAACCCAGACACAGATTCATTCCAGACTGTCTTATTGCACAATGAACTTGGTCGTACTCCTTTGCTACAGAAGTTTCAATGTCTCCTTTCCCTTTTATTAATGCTGCCAGTGAAGGTTGTGATAAAGTTACAACATCCTAGCATGGAAATGTAATATTTTGTCACTGGGGAAAAGAATCCCTTTCCCTTTAGTAAGAGTATTAACAATATTAAGGGCTGGTTGAGGGAAGGTTGGGCATACCCAGTTTTTAAGAGTACTTTTAACAAAGGAAACTTTTCTCCTTTTTCAAAAACATATTCTTGTGACATCTTCTCTTTGTGGTAATTTTTTAAGTTTCCATGTACAGTACAAATAAAAAATTGATGGCAGATTTTTGTTGCTGGCTGTGACGTTTCAAGTGATCTTATCCATTGGAGTTGTTATGTGCCAACCACACAAATGAGTGTGATACCTCGGTGTGCAAGGGAAAAGTGGCTTCATTCAGACTTTATGCCAAACTGTGGTTAAAGGAAAACTTAGTTATGGTTTGGCATGATGCCTAACAAACCATGGTTTGGCATGCTGGTAGAATTGAGCCATCATCTTAACCGTTGTTGAGGAATCATCTTCTGGCAGAAAAAAAATATTTTCTCCTGCTGCTAAAAGAAATTGAAAAAATAACCGTGTTGACTGGGGTTCTGGGGTTTGTGAAATACATAGTGCTTATTTAAAAGTATAGTAGTGGAAATTATTGCTTTTATAATATCAAGTGTATTTGCTGAAAGCTCCATGCTTCCTGCTGTTGACATTAAAAGTTCACCTAGCTACTTGGAATCAAGAGACCATGTTGCCATGTTATTAGCTGTACACATGGCAAAGGAACAAATGGATCACTTTCTTCAGATTCTAATGTTGCATGATGGGGGGGGGGAAGCTTTAGTCCTACTGTTATTTTGTGGCATAGAACAAAGCAGACCCATGTAGGTTATATCTTGTATTATCTACTCAGCTTCCATTTTAGAATTTCAAAGAAATGCAAGCCTCAGAGGATAGCAATGGCAAACCCCCTCTGAAGAAACTTGCCAAGAAATCCCTGTGATATGTTCGCTTTAGGGTCGCCATAAGTCAGAAATGTCTTGAGGATATACGATAACAAACAAAAAGGAATATAATAATGTTATCTGCAAATAAGATGATTTTGTGACAGGTATTACCAGTTGGAGAGAGAGCCAGTGTGGTGTAGTGGTTTGAACGCAGGACTACAACTCTGGAGACCAGGGTTCGATTCCTGCTCGGCCATGAAACCCATTGGGTGACCTTGGGCACGTCACATGCGCTCAGTCTCAGGGGAAAGCTATGATAAACCTTCTCTGAATAAATCATGCCAATAAAAACTCATGAGCCTTATGATCACCATAGGTTAGAAACACCTTGAAGACACACAACACACACACAACAATTGGCAGTTGTAATTCCTGGAATAACACTGCTGTTCCTGATTCTGTATACCAGGGGGTCAGTTACAATGACAAATAGAATCAGTGATAATGGGCAACCTTGTTTAGCTCCTCTGTTTACAGGAAAATGTTCAGTAGGTTCCGACAGAGGCTGAGGAGCCCTCATAACACTTCTGAACACGCCAAATGAATCCAATTCCCATGCCCATTTTTTATAAGAACTTTTTGTTCCAAGGCCTTGTTGGCATCCAAGGAAAGAATGGATAGATGCTTATTCCCCCCACCCCCTATTGCTAAAATGAATTCTGTTTTCATAGAATCATAGAGTTGGAAAAGACCACAAGGACCTTCCAGTCCAACCCCCTGCCATGCAGGAACTCTCAAGGCATACCCGACAAATGGCCATCCAGCCTCTGTTTAAAGACCTCTAAAGAAGGAGACTCCACCACACTCTGAGGCAGCATCTTCCACTATTCAACAGTTTTTAGTGTCAGGAAGTTCCTCCTAATGTTGAGGTGGAATCTCTTTTCCTGTAGCTTGCATCCATTATTCCAGGTCCTGTTCTCTGGAGCAGCAGAAAACAATCTTACTCCATCCACAATATGGCACCCTTCAAATACTTAAACAGGGCTATCATATCACCTCCTAACTGTCTCTTCTCCAGGCTAAACATACCCAGTTCCCTAGGTTGTTCCTCATAGGGCATGGTTTCCAGAGCCTTCACTATTTAAGTTGCCTTTCTCTGGACATGCTCCAGTTTTTCAACATTCTTTTGGAATTGTGGTGCCTAGAACTGGACATAGTATTCTAGCTGGGGCCTGACCAAAGGAGAATACACTGGAACTGTTATTTCCCTTGATCTAGACACTATACCTCTCTTGATGTAGCCTAAAATCGCATTGGCCTTTTTATCTGCTGCATCACACTGTTGACTCATGTTCAACTTGTGGTCTACTAGGACTCCTAGATCCCTTTCACACTTAGTCTCGTTCAGCCAGGTGTCCCCTATCCTATATCTGTGCATTTAATTTTTCTGCTCTGAGTGCAGTACCTTACATTTCTCTGTGTTGAAATTCATTTCGTCAGTTTTGGCCCAGCTTTCTAATCTATTCAGGTCATTTTGAAATTTCATCCTGTCCTCTGGGGTATTAGCTAATCCTCCTAATTTGGTGTCATCTGCAAATTTGAGAAGTGTGCCCTCTATTCTTTCATCCAAGTCATTGATAAAGATGTTGAATAGCTCTAGACCCAGGACAGACTCCTGTGGCACCCCACTGGTCACTTCTCTCCAGGATGAAAATTAGACATTATTGAGCACCCTTTGGGTTCAGCTGGTCAACCAATTACAAATCCATGTAACAGTTACTGCCTAATGGTATATGAACTGTGCTAGCCTAGCACAAACACTATTTTGTCTCTATTACTATATTTACTATTACTATTCTTAGTATTCTTACTATAAAAGAATTCAGTCTGGAGGTCATAATGGATAATGGTGATTTTATGTCTTGATTAATCAGTAATATAAGAGTGATATAATGTTGATTATCTTTGCCTGTTTTAGGAATTCAGATTTTGTGTGTTGATTTCCCTGATTTAGGGACCTTCCCTGAACAATATGGTTAAATAGTCTAGTGAGTTTTGGTGCTAAGAAATGGTTACCGAATGCACCAACTAAACTACCAACAGAGCTTTGCCATCAGAAGATAAATTTATCTTTTGCTCGCTATCTTTTACCAGCTTCACTTGAGGTGTGAGATTCCCAGGCTTCTTTCTTCAAGATCCATCTGACCTTGAGAATTGGTAACTTGATTTTTTTAAAGGAGAAGGAATCTTGTATATAGTGCAAAGCAGGTTTGCATGTTGGCCATGTGCATCACTTTTTCTTCTTGAAGAAAAGTGTGTGTGCCTGTGAGTGAGAAGGGTCTGTTTGTGCTAACTAGTGGAACTTGTGCTGCTTGAGTTAGCTAGAAGTGATCTGTAAGCCAATAAAATATTTTCCTGACTCTGGGATTTGTAGTCTATATAATAATGAACATTGCAAAGGTAACCTTGCAGGGTGGTTGCATAGAGCCTTGGGAGCATCTTTACAACATATTTCCTGACACATAGTTGTCCCTGACATATAGTTCCAGCTCTGGAAGAAGAACCTAAGGCTAATAAGAGTGGGATTCTGTGTCAACTGAAGTATAGCAAAAAGAAAAAAGCCACAGCTATCTCCTTTGAGAAAGAAGAGACTAAAAATGCCCATCAAGCAATGATACATGTTGAATTGAAGTATTTTTTAAAAACATACTACTGTACTTCAGAAGTCCTTTGAATTGTTGGTTTACAGTTTTTCCATACAGGCATATACAATGCACATTTTAAAAGATAATCCGTACACAGGTTTCATACTGTATCCTAAAGAAGAGTTGGGCAACTACCTGAGGTTTGGGGCAATGCATGCCTCTCTGCAGACCTCAAGGGGATGCATACTTATGCCTTCCCATTTTTAGGATCTAAATCTAAGTGCTTTAGCATCCCTTGGATTTAGATGATCATTGTCCCCTTCTGGTCCCCTCAAAACAGTTTGTTTGCAATGCCAGGCGTTGGAAATACATTAAATGTGGTTGTCCCAACACTGCAGTGGGACTGCATTCAACAAACTAGATTTTTCAAGGCATATTTTTTGCTTATAGAACCCATATCATTTTTCAAATCAATCCGCTTCCATTTGATGTTTCTCCCCCACACCATTTTTTGGTGTCGAAAAAGTGATAAGCTCCAGTATTGTTGATTCCAGTTTGATGGCATATTGATACGTACATCTTTGCCTTATTCAGGGAGTTGGATTTTGCTTGTGATAAAAATATTACAAAACCTATGAAAAAATGCTACAAAATATTTGTAGTGGTATGCCAAAAACCTAATCCTTTTTTGCAGGGTGAGGTGGGATTGGAACTTAGATTCAGATGACCAGCTCTGCAGGTGTTTAGACCTAACACAGGAAGGTTCTTGTGAATAGAACTGATGATGGGTTATGACTGTATAATAGATATGAGAACTGTGTGGCCCTCAAATACGTTATTGGACTGCAACTCCAAGCATTTCTTATCATTGCCTAGGCTGGTTATGGCTGATGGGAGCTGCAATCCAATTACATTGGTTTTTCCTACATATCCAGTATCCTTGTATATAAGAAAACTCTTTTCACAATCCTTTTTAAAATATGCAATCTTCATGAGGTTCAGACACAAGGCATTTCCCCCCATTTCCTCAGTTGCTCCCCCTCCTTTTGTGATCATTATAAAATACAATTTCTGTTATTTCAGTAGTTCCTATAGTTACTGATCTAGTTGTCAAGAAAGCAGTTACTTCTCTTTCTTTATTTTTCTCCTTCTGTACCTTTGAAAAATGAGATCATGCATATTATTCTGACATGAAATAGTTGTTCACTAGATTATAAAAATAGGAAGGTGGGAAGTAAGTAAGTCATAGGTATATATAAATGGTGTTATCCTAATCCAGGTTATTTTTTCACCACCGAGCTATCACTGATTCCAGTCCTTCAGGTCCAATTTGGGTTGCTGTTAGCTATTTTAACTAGCCAAGGTCATTCTTATCCTGGGTGAAATGCCTTAAAGATACTGAGAGCAGAGACTGTAATTTGAAAGGCAAGATAGATATCTAGCAAGGCCTAGACCTAGGAAAACCTACATTTTGGACTGCACCTATCAGAATCCCCTAGTCACCACTGCAATGCTGGCTGGAAAATTCTGGGAGATATAGTCCTAAAAAAATCATATGTCTAAGACCATTGCTTTGGGGCATAAACAAAGCTGATTTTTATACCTTGGTTTAACAGAACTGTTATGGAGTTAAACATTTGAAGTAGCACCTGGACATTTGGAATTTGCTGCTGTGAACTGGACCACCACTTACTAAAGTGTTTAGGATGAGGCACAGTATCTTTCATGGATCTTGGATCAGATCCATGCTTACGTCCTATACTTGTCTGTCCCACGCACTGCAGTAGGTAAATCATGCCCCCACTCTGGTTTTTCAATCACTTTTGTACCAAGAGTTCATATAAAATTGGATCAAGAAGCTGAGTGAATGATTTACCTGTGGTGGAATGACTCACCAGTACCATGGCATCCCAGTCATTTCAAAGGGTGGTTGTTGTTGTTAACTGCCCTGGTGGTGCAATGGTTAAATGCCTGTACTGCAGCCATTCACAGCCACAAGGTTGTGAGTTCGATCCCAGGCTCCAGGGTTGATTCAGCCTGGCATCCTTCCAAGGTCGCTAAAATGAGTACCAAGCTTGTTCGGGGCAATTAGCTTACACATTGTAAACTGCTTAGGGAGTGTTGAAGTGCACTGATAAGCGGTAGAGAAGTGTACTTGCTATTGCTATTGCTTTTGCTTGAGTTGACCTCGATTTATGGTGACCCTGTGGATGAGACATCTCCAAGACCATCTGTCCTCCACTGCTCCACTCAGGTCCTGTAGATCTCCCATACAAGCAAAATCAAAAACCTCTCTGATTGAGTCCAACATTCTTGCATGTGGTCTTCCTTGCTTTCTACTTCCCTCTACTTTTCCTAGCATCATTGTCTTTTCCAGTGATTCATGCCTTCTCATGATGTGGCCAAAGTATGACAGCATCAATTTTGTCATCTTGGCTTCCAGGGAGATTTCAGGCTTGATCTGTTCTAGAACCCATTTGTTTGACTTTTTGGCCATCTGGATTTTAGATATAACCCATGTATAAGTCAAGGGTAAAATTTAGGAGCATGTGACAAACAATCTGTAGGATGAAGCAAAGGAAAATGATACCAAAGAAGTTAACAAAATTCC